TCTCAAATAAATAAATAAAATCTTAAAAAAAAAAAAAAATTGGCGGCTCATCAGCTTTCCCAGCCCGCAGTTGAAAAATCTTTCAGCCTCAGGGGAAAAGCAGATAAACACAGGAGTGGAAATCCTTCGCAGAGAGTAAGGGCTGGGCTTCCTGCTTGCTCAGGCAGGGGAAAAGCTCAACTGTTGTCTTTTTTAAAAACAGCTTTATTAACGTATAACTCCCATATGATCAAACTCACCCACTTAAAGGGTACAATTCAGTGAATGTTGGCATATTTGCAGGGTTGTCCAACCATCACCATAATCAAATCTGGAATGTGCTCTTCACTATTAGCATCATCCACTGGCAGTCTCTCCCTGTTCTCTCCCATCCCCAACCCCCAGCCCCAGGCAACCACTAATCTACTTTTTTTTTTTTTAATCTCTATGGATTTGCCTATTCTGGACGTTTCGTACAAATGGGATCATACCACGTGCTGCCCTTTGTGAATGACCTTCCACTAGCACAATGTTGCTAAGGTCTGAGCTATGCTGTAGCAGGCGTTGACACTAGGTTCTCCTTTACTGACAAAGTAATTGTATGGATACACGTTCTGTTCCTTGTTCATCTGTAGATGGACATTCCAGTGGTTTCCACATTTTGCTATTGTAAATAATTCCACTGTGTACATTCTTGTACAACGTTTCATGTGGATCCATGTTTTCATTTCTTGAGTAGATATGGGTAGAATTACTGGGTTATACAGTAACTCTGTGTTTCACATTTAGAAGAAATGGCACATTGTTCTCCAAAGTACACACTGACTTTACTTCCCCTCCAGAAATATATGAGGACTCTGAAATCTCACCCATACTTCTTATTTCCTTCCTTTTCTCATTATAGACATTCTACATAGGTGAGAAGCAGTATCTGGTGATTTTCATCTGCATTTCCCTAATGACTGGTGATCACAAGTGAAACTCCACACACTGTTGGCCATTCATATAGCTTCTTTGGAGAAATGTCTAGTCAAATTCCTGTCCACTTTTATTTGGGTTATTTCTCTGTTTATTTTTGGGTTATAATAGTTCTTTGTGTATTCTAGATATACTTATATCCTTTATCATCTACATTGTTTAAAATATTTTCTCTCAGGCTGGGAGTGGTCTTTACTTTCTTGGTACTGTCTTTTGAAGTGTATATTTTTCAAATTTTGATGAAGTCCAACTTATCTGTCTTCTTATTAAGAAGATATTTTATGTCATATCTAGGAGAGCATTGCCTAATTCCAATCATGAAGATTTACGTCTGTATTTTCTTTAAAGAGTTAAATGCTTTTATCTCTAATATTTAGGTCTATGATCCACTTTGAGTTAATTTTTGCTAATGGTGTGAGGTAAAGATCCAACTTCATTCTTTTGCATGTGGCCCCAAATTTCATTTATTGTAAAGGTTATTCTTTCCTGGATGGATTGTCTTGGCCTTTCTTGGGGGGAAATCGATTGACCATAAATGTTATGATCTGGTTATTTCTGGACTCTTAACTTTATTCTAGTGATCTATACATGTACTTTTATACCAGTACCGTTCAGTCATGATTCCTATTAAGGTGTCCCTTTAAAAAAAGTTTTATTTCTTTGGGGATGATTATAAATTACAGCTAATTGAGATTTGTATGTATCTATGGGGGGAAATTCCAAATAGTTAAATCTTTCCATTTTTTTAAATGGAAGTTTATTCATCTGTGAAATCGAAAAGTCTGAGAATTACTGTTTCCGGGCAAACTCACTCATGGTTGGCACGTCCTAGTCAGAGTGAAATTACAGGTGTTCCTCCCAAGACCAGTGACCATGCATGGTTCCCCTGATTTGGCATGATGCACCCATGTTCCTGAGATGAAAGCAGTGCTTGGCTCATCTGCGAAAATTCTCACTTTGTGATCATGGACCCCGTTCAGGTTTCCATTCTTTTAGGGAGTAAAACCACCCGTGGACACACAGAAAGAATCAGAGAGGTAGCAAGCATGACTCCCTAAGGACCAGCCCTACGTGACAGCAACAGGGCAACTTTGCTCTTAGACAAGGTCAGCCAATGATCTCTCTGCAAACCTCGGTGTCTCCTTCCAGGCCTCCTGGCTTTCTCCTGACGCACTCCGAGGGGAGTAGAGCAACACCAATAAACACCCCAGAAGGCTTAGCAGGGCCATGGCAATGTTTTTGTCCTAGCTTTTTCAGAATATACCTACATTCCTCAAAAACGGAATGGTAGACTTCAGTGGTACTTTAAATGTGTTTGAATTATGCTTTGTCTTACAAAATTCTCTTTGAATGAACAATTTAGTGCCACATTACTCTTGGTAGAAATGCCCTTATTATTATGAGTAACTGACAACTTTAAAGGGATCTAATTAATCCCACCCTACAAATAAAATGTTTCCACCTCAGTGGATTTTTACCTACTGAAAATGTTTAAAATAAATAGTCTCCTGGGTAAGATTTCTGAATTCAGAATTATCCCCCGCCCCCTGATCTCATTAGCATTCATAGGGGAAAAAAAGTAAAAGAAAACTACAACCAGCTGAAAACCTCTGATTAGAAGTCTGTTCCCCCACCAGTACACTGTTTAATGTCTTCGAAAAAATATATTTTGAAATCATTTTTAACTTACGTTTCCGAAAGATTAAAAACTCGTTGAGGATCTCCGTTCTCAATGGTGTATGATATTGGGTCTCCCTCTCTATCAGTTGCCTTCAGAGAGAAAACATGATTGAATTATCGAGTAATTGATACAGGTCCTGGTCCATACGGTGGAATATAGGAGCTGGAAACTAATAGCATGGAGTATCCACAAGACTCTTAAGGGATAAAAAATGAGCTAATTCAGAATTTCATATCTGACCCCAGCATTTCTGTTATTTCCTCTCATTTGAAATCAGTAACAATGAATAAGAATAATATTGCCCTAATGTGTACATAATCTTACCTGGTGCAGAAATAGATCAATGGCTCTTTTAAGGTTTATGTATTTAATTTACATGAGTGTATCTGTCTAGTTTAAACAAATGTGTTACAGTCTGCGTAAATGTTTACAGTGTAGAGAAACTGTCTAGTCCACTGGTTTCTTTTTCTGCTGAGCATATATCAAGTCAGGAAGCTTTATGGTTAAGAATCCTGAATCTGAAGCCAGAAACCTAAATTTGAAACTGGCTCCCCTTACTAAATGTGTGATTATTTTTCAACTTGTTCACTTGTAAATGAGAACTTTAACAATACAAAAGTCAATCAATATTGGGAGGTTTGACTGACATGATTTCTGTCCAGAAGTCAAATTTTTAATTAAGCCAAGTGACCACCTTTTTCAGGCCTGCATTGTATTTCTTTCGAGCAATGATTTTGCATTATGATGGATACACACTCACTAAAATAAAATGGAATGAAATAAAGTAGTAAAATAAAATGAAATAATCAACTAGCTAGGGTAATATCTTGAAGCATTCCATTTCTAGCTAAATCTCAAATTTTAAATTGCTTTGAATTCATTATAATAGAAATCTCAGAGTAGAGAGTATGAAAAAAATATATTTTTTTTAAACAGGCTCAGTGGAATTGATAGTAGATGCTTGATATTTTCCTCTTATTTTTCTGTTCTTTGCCAGGCAAGTATTAGCCAAAAAGAGAAAACAGAACTACAAATAATGACACAGTTAAGTTTTTGAAGAAACACAGAATTATGCTAGATTTAGTGAGACAGGGAAACTGAAGGACTCTATAAAAATCTGCTTTTTGCTCCTTTTCCTGCTTCTATTCTTCCTGGACCCACATCCCCACCTTATACATGTGTTGTAGTATGTCCCCCTTGTAAGGGATAAGGAATTAATGATTTCTTTGGACTCCTCTAGCACAACATATAACATCTAAGGAGTGGCCGGGCAAGAATGCCTGGATGAGGTTATCTCCTGTATATTCCAGACTGATGAGGGAGCAGAAGGCAAGCTGAGGACAAAGCACAAGCTAACACCCTGCAACCTCTCCCTAGCCCCACTCCTGGGTGGGACATGTGTGACATTCTTTCAGGAAGCTCCCAACTATCTTTATGTTAATGCCTTGCTAGAGGGCAAAACAACCTTAACTTGGCAATGGCAAAGCCTCTGGTATCTGGTAGG